TTATTTCGCTATTTATGAAAAAATTTAAGTTATAAGGCCTCACATGAGCAGTAAGGTCACTATCACTTACTCAACATGCTTTCTCCGACAATAGGTGGCGCTTGGGGGAATTCCAACTAGCAAAATGAATATTTTAAAATTGTGTCTCTTATTTAGACCATTAGGACCCGACAAAGTACTGAAAGTTCGCAGGGGCTCGGTTCCTTTCCTTCCATGTAAACAGAGCTGCAATAAAAAGTTAACCCTCGCTGCTTTCATGTTACGCATAATTGAAACGAACTTCCTATTCAGTGGGCAGACTCCGAGCTTAACAACGATTTTATCCACCACCACTGGGAAGGCCCGTGGCTGCAGGGAGAAAATGAAATAGAAGTCCCACCCCTGAAGATGGTGCCCCACAAAGCATGTCAATGTCATGAATATTATTGACATGAATTTCCCCCACAAAACCCGAACTCAACAGGACCGACAAGTACGCCATGTTCTTTTTAAGGGAGCACATTTCCGCGGAAAAAGAAAAGTACAAAAAAAAAGAGTAGGAAAAACCTGAAGGTCAACCCCTTTTCCAAAGGCCTGAGGAGAGTTTTCTGCGTTGCTGAAGTTGCTTTCGATGGGCTGTCAAAGTCAGAGCTTTATAAAAAATCGATAGACGACAGACAGAATGGTCAATGGAGCCTAACCCTGCTGCGCTGATGGGTGGGTTTTCGGTTAGCAGACTTGTGTGGGATTAGCTTGCCCCCAACCCACGAGCCGAACCGAGCTGAACTCGACATTCTGTTTTCTGAAACGCTATCGTGCTTGGTTGCAAGTTATTATTGTTGTTGGCGCTTTTAATTTTGTACCATTGGAATTTAAGTATTTAAAGCTTTCCTTCAATAACACACGTTAACTTTTTAAATGGACTTCTTTGCGGAATAAGTGTGAATTGGCAATACAGACTTTCGTTAGCTGGATAACTGGGTCCTAATCATTTTCACCGCACTGTTTTATAGGACGAACTTAAAACAAGAAGGATCGATGTAGTCCAAGTACTAGTTACTCTGCTATCGAATAAATATGCTAGCAGGAGAAACGTTATTGTTTGCCACAAGGTTTATGAATTAGTCTTTTGTTTATTATGCATTTATAAATATACATAACTACATACATATGTATGTTCATAATTACCACCCTGCGAAACAAATAGCTGTTTTTATTTTAAACCTACGCGTAATAAAATTAGAGAATTAGAAATTCTTAAAGAAAATGTAAATTCTTAAAACTGAAAAATAAACTTAGACATGTTTCTTTTTAAATTACGGGCTATCAACAGGGAGTCGCCCACGAATGAACTTTCAAAGAGTTTGGGATCTCTTACGATAGTTTCTGATAAGTATAATTATACTTGCCTTATCTACATATATGTCTCAAAACCATTATTATGATATGATAACGGCATTATGTCTAGTATTTCATATACTCTTAACCCAGGCATTTATCAATCGGAACCCCCAGAACATCGAACTCCAATTACAACAACACTTCAGCCAGAAAGTGGTCTAACTTCCTATGCAACAACATTGTCCCATCCGTATGGGTACAGTTCAATCCTCGGGATACAGCAACTATAACACAAACAACACCAGGAACCAAAGCGAAAACCGGAAACCGAGAAGCCGAAAAGAGAGGCCATCATCGAACTTTGCTTGGCTGCATTTGTCGGGCCTTAAGTGCCCTCAGAACCGCAAAACCTCACGTCCATATGAGTGCGTATATGTATATTAACATATACATACATACATAAGTGTATGTTTGTAATTCGGAGTGCTTTCCTGAATCTCAGAAATAAAAATAAGCAAAAAAAAAAAAAAATGCTGACCACTCGCTCTCGTTCCCCTCCTTCAGGCATTGCTCTCTCCGCTGTGTGGCGCACCCACGCAACCTTAGCTGAGAACCAATATTTGGTCTCTTTGTTTATCATATACATACATACATATATGCCCATACATTCATTAGTATGTGGTACACGTGTACCGTGTATCGTACAACCAATTTTGTTTATTTTCTTTTGTGCCAATTTCTCACAATCACTTGTGCGGCACATCATCGCTCAGAGTATTTCTGTTTTTCTCAAACTCCAAGGTAAAGAAAAGAAAAAAACTTGCTCAAGCTAAGCGCTCTCTCAGTCTTGCTTTCTCTATCTTTCGTTTGCCCCCTCTTTTAACAGCTTGTGGCGCATGTATGCGTTCACCTTGCGTATGTGTGTGTCTCTCTGAGTGCGGGTGTGTGGAACTGCCTTCGTTGCTGCGTCTTCTTCTTCGTGGCTTGCTTCGCCGTCGTCGTCGTGGTTGTTGTTGTTTTATGCAAGGTCGTTTGCGTACAAAATTCAACATTATTTGAAGGTCGTCCTTTGCTTGTTCTGCGCGTCGCTTCTTATTCGTTCTTGCTTTCTCTCTCTCCCTGCTGGCATGTTCTGGTTATCCCTCTCTTCTGATGAATCGGCTTTGCCTGGTGCAGTGCGTGGGTTGTTGTCACCGCTAATGCTCAATTAGAATAAACAAAAAAATAAATTTGAAATTACACAGTGCAATCAGTCTTGGATAAACACGAATATCTCTTTATCCTTTAAATGCAATTTACCCCAAATTTACCACGAACATATTGCTAATAGTATCGAATAAAGATTTTGTAAATGTTATTCGTCATCTTTTTAAAAAAAAAGGGTGCGTGGCGCTGGGTTATTGTACCTTAAATTTATTATAATTCCGTCCTATCGGCTTTGCGACTCTTTCGCTTGGCCGTTTGCTTCATTGCTCCAGCACCGCGGGTCGATGACATTTTTCGTTGGTGGCCATTGACTATAACTTGTATATTGCTTAAGCTATTGTTTGTTCCCAGAGCAAGACGGGAAGAGAAGAAAGAAGAGAGATGGCGAGCTGTATGTGAGCTGGAGGGGTGAGTGAGTGAGCCAGGCTGATAAGAGCCTAAAGAACAAAAACCCAAACGAATGTGAGCTGTTCTCTGAAGCCGGCTTGTGAGTGAACTCAATTAGCATAAGTGGCTATGGATGTTCGGGCAAGGTCGCTAGGGTGGGTGGTTGTACAGTGGCATTGACCTTATTGTTCCATCCTATAATAAGCCTTTGTTCGGGTTGCTATGCGGCTATCTTAGGAATTCTGAAAATGAAGTAAATTGAGTCATTGCCAAAATGTTCTTGAAAAGCGGCTTACATAGATATCTGGGATAAACATAATTTAAACTTTTTATGCTAGAAGCTTTTCTGACCCTCAGATAGCCCAGATGATTTCGTCCGTATGTCCGTATAAACACTGATATATCGGGAACTCTAGGATATGTTACTATATTACTTTATTCATAATCGCAATGCTCGCAGACATATGAATATGCTACACATCTGCTTTAAGATAACGTTTCCCATCGCAATGACTTCCAAGCGGAGACTATAGTGAATTTAGACATTGTAGCCCACAATGTAGCGTTTGCCGATGCACTCGCCAATGTAGAACCAAACAAGAGGAAACGCTATAGTCGAGTGCCGCGACTATAAGATACCCGTTACTGTTCTACAAAATTTTAATATATTATTTTGCTAGTGGAAATTCACAAGGCTCACCCTATTGTCAGATGAAGTATGTTGAGTATGCTTATAGTGACGTCACTGCCCATGTGAGGCCTTATAACCTTAATTTCTTTATAAATAGCGAAAAAAGGTTCCGATTTAAAAAATCTTTGGTAAATTGATAGATATTAACAAAATAAGTTATACAAGGTACAAGGAATATTATAGACAGTTTTCCGCGGTTTGTGGGCGTTAGAGTGGGCGTGGCCGAATGCAACTTCGTGAAAAGTTGCAGAGGCACCTCTTAAATACGTGTTCCTAAGCAAAATGTTGTAGCTCTTATAGTTTTTGATATTACTGCATTTTTGGTTTTTCGGGTTTTGTGGGCGTTAGAGTGGGCGTGGCTTGGTCGGAAAAAAACAATTCGCATTGGAAGCACCATAAAAACCTACATGCTTAATCCGAACTTTCTATCTCTTACAGTTACCGAGATATCAGCTTTTCTAGAAAATCCGAAAACCGACTTTTGAGCCTTGTGGGCGTATGAGTGGGTGTGGCCGGATAGTAGTACCACTATAAGATGCGCTGGCATCTAAAGATTATACTTTCTGAATTTCAACTTTCTAGCTCTAAAAGTTTCGAAGATTTCAGCGATTTCAGTTTTTCGCGATTTGTGGACGTTTGAGTGGGCGTAGCAGGATGCTGTAATAAACTTGCGCTGTCCCGGGACCTCAAGAATCTTCATGGTTAATCTCAACTTTGTATCTGTTATAGTTCCTGAGATCTCAGCGTTCATACGGATGGACGGACTGACGGACGGACGGACGGACAGACGGACATGGCTCAATCGACTTCGCTATTGATCCTGATCAAGAATATATATACTTTATAGGGTCGCAAACGCTTCCTTCTATCTGTTACATACTTTTCAATGAATCTAGTATACCCTTTTACTCTACGAGTAACGGGTATAAAAATGACCTCGGCAGTCACCAGGGTGTTAAGCCAGGCCTCCCGAACGGTAAGGTTCTTATAGGCACCTGTCATGGTTTCTTCGGCAATATCATTGCCGAGTCCTTGGCGGATGGCTGGGATATCACCTTGGCTTTTTCAGGAACACGTCCAGTTGGGGCCTCGCCTGAGTAAGAAGCCTTTTTACTAGTCCTGATTCCTTGGTTTCCAAACGACGAAAAACGAAGACGGTCACAAACCTTTTAACGTGCACATACATTTGGTTTGACTTCAAATATTATGTTTTCATCCATCTACCAACATGTTTTCGAATCTGATTTTTTTTTAAATTTTAAGAGAAATTAAAGTTATAAGGTCGTACACGTTTGTGCCTTAGCTACACTAAGCGAAAAAAAAAATTGGATGAATTCAAATCTGTATTTTTTCCTAACTAACTTATGTACGCTTGTATCTTGTTTGGTATTTTAAGATTACAACACAATGGAACTACATCAACGACACCTCTCCAATTTTTATAAGCTGCACAACTGAGAATGAAAAGTCTTTGATAAATACATAATAAGAAAGCAAAGAACCGGCTGCCGACGCTATATTGCTTCAAAGGCCAAAAATGCCAAACATGTCCAGCATTAAAGCGGAGCAGCAGAGTGCTCCTATTGGAGGAACTAGCGGCTATCAACTGCCGGTCAATATGTGCACCACCGCCGTGGCAAGTACGACGACAACTCTGGGAGCAGCCACCGTGGGGGCTACTGTCTCCCGGCACAACGTATCTGTGACGAACATTAAGTGCGAGCTAGACGAGCTGCCCACGCCCAACGGAAATCTTGTGCCGGTAATCGCAAACTATGGCCACGGTAGCCTGCGCATTCCGCTAAGTGGACAGCCGAATCATGAGGAGTCCGATTCGGAGGAGGAGCTGGCGAACATCGAGAACCTGAAGGTGCGACGAAGGACGGCGTCTGATAAAAACGGACCTCGACCGATGTCTTGGGAGGGCGAACTGAGCGATGCTGAGGCTAACGGCGGGGAGGAACTAATGGAAATGGAGCCGACAATCAAGAGCGAGGCGGTCGCGGCCGTTCCCACTTCCCTTCAGCCAACCTGCGCTCTGCAGCCGATCAAAGCTGAGCTAGAGAATATTGCCGGAGAGCTGCAACTTCAGGGGAAGTCTTACCCCATGTCCAACTCACAATGCCACGTTGTCACGAAAATGAAGCTGGCGCCGACGCAGAGCGATCCGATCAATCTCAAATTCGAGCCCTCTCTGGGAGACAATTCGCCGCTACTGGCTGCCCGTAGTAAGTCCAGTAGTGGAGGCCACTTGCCGCTACCCGCGAATCCCAGTCCCGACTCTGCAATACATTCCGTCTACACGCACAGCTCGCCCTCGCAGTCGCCGCTGACGTCGCGACATGCCCCCTACACTCCCTCGCTGAGCCGCAACAACAGCGACGCCTCGCACAGCAGCTGTTACAGCTATAGTTCCGAGTTCAGTCCAACCCACTCGCCCATCCAGGCTCGGCATGCCCCACCCGCTGGTACGCACTATGGCAACGGAGGAGTGCACCACCACAGTGTTCTGTACCGTCCGCTCAAAGTAGAAGCCTCATCCACGGTGCCATCCAATGGGCAGGAGGCTCAGAACCTAAGCATGGACTCTGCCTCAAGCGGTCTGGATGCAGTGGGTTCGGGATCATCACATCCTGCTTCCCCGGCGGGCATTTCGCGTCAGCAGCTAATTAACTCGCCGTGTCCCATATGCGGTGACAAAATCAGCGGCTTTCACTACGGAATCTTCTCCTGCGAGTCCTGCAAAGGCTTCTTCAAGCGCACTGTTCAGAACCGCAAGAACTACGTGTGTGTACGTGGCGGACCCTGCCAGGTGAGCATCTCCACACGCAAGAAGTGTCCGGCCTGCCGGTTTGAAAAGTGCCTTCAGAAGGGCATGAAGCTGGAGGCGATTCGGGAGGATCGAACCCGCGGTGGCCGCTCCACTTACCAGTGCTCCTATACGCTTCCCAACTCAATGCTCAGTCCCCTGCTCAGTCCGGATCAGGCGGCAGCAGCTGTTGCCGCCGCAGCGGTGGCAAGTCAGCAGCAACAACAGCAACAGCGACTCCATCAGTTAAATGGAGGATTTGGCGGCGTACCCATCCCGTGCTCGACCTCTCTTCCAGCCAGTCCCAGTTTGGGGGGAGCTTCCATAAAATCGGAGGATGCCGTGGAGTCTGGCAAGCACAGCCTGCGAACCGGAAGCGTACCACCACTACTGCAGGTAAGTTTTAAATGCCTAGAAACGGTTCACAGTATATCAGAGTTAGCAATAAAGACGATTAACTATTGTCTAATCCAGGAAATCATGGATGTTGAGCATCTGTGGCAGTACACCGATGCGGAACTGGCCCGCATCAACCAACCTCTGTCCGCATTCGCATCTGGAAGCTCCTCTTCGTCGTGCTCATCAGCCGCGTCCTCGGGTGCCAACGCACAGCCCCAACTAACAAATCCACTACTGGCCAGTGCCGGACTCTCATCCAATGGCGAGAACGCCAACCCCGATCTAATCGCCCATCTCTGCAACGTGGCTGATCACCGCCTCTACAAGATTGTCAAATGGTGCAAGAGTTTGCCGCTCTTCAAGAATATCTCGGTGCGAATTGGAGCTGCTCTCCTTAAATTCCTTGAATTTCATTGTCCGTCTCCTACTATTACAGATCGATGACCAAATCTGCTTGCTCATAAATTCATGGTGCGAACTGCTGCTCTTCTCCTGCTGTTTTAGATCAATTGATACTCCCGGCGAGATTAAAATGTCCCAAGGCAGGAAGATAACCCTTTCACAGGCAAAATCAAATGGATTGCAGGCAAGTTAAGCCTTTTTACTTGCTAACTTACCATCTTTAACACCAATAACAATCATTATAGACTTGTATTGAACGGATGCTCAATCTGACCGATCACCTGAGGCGATTACGCGTTGACCGCTACGAATATGTTGCCATGAAGGTGATTGTGTTGTTGCAGTCAGGTAAAAACAATATATGCGATTCAGTTAAGGCCATGGCCGACTTAAACTTGTGTGTCCTACCAGATACGACGGAGTTACAGGAGGCGGTAAAGGTACGAGAGTGCCAGGAAAAGGCGTTGCAAAGCTTGCAGGCTTACACCCTAGCCCATTATCCAGACACGCCGTCGAAGTTCGGGGAACTCCTGCTGCGCATTCCCGATTTGCAGCGAACGTGCCAGGTAAGTGACGATTGAGGTATACATAGCTATCACTAACCAATCTATTCTAAAAGCTGGGCAAGGAGATGCTGACGATCAAGACTCGAGATGGAGCTGATTTCAACTTGCTAATGGAGCTCTTGCGCGGAGAGCATTGACAATTGATAACGAAGATGGAAATCTGCTGCCATCGGCAAAACAAGTTCTACATATTTAGTATTAGATACGTATATTTTAGAGATAAGTACTTTAACTGTAAGCTCGGAAAACATGTGCCTAAAAACCAAAGCCACAATAGCAGCCACAATAGCATGCCCACTGGTCGACATTGCATCTGAGCGCAAGATTGCCAAATTTTTACACCGATATATATTTTGATATAAGCCATGCGCAGGGTCTGCAATTGCTGTTGTTGTTGGCCAAAGTTTCAGTGAGAAGAGTATATATATATATTGATTTTGCTATTTATACATATTTGACTTATGTATAGTGTAAACTAAAGCACACATGGAAAATGAAAAGACTAAAAAATTTATTTAAATAATTACTTTTACGTATTATGGAAGAGAAAAACGAAAACACACAGATGCATAAAAGTAAATTTAGTTACAGCAGCTAGCGACATTTTTATACCTACTATATAAGAGATAATATCCAATGTATTTTTAATGAAATGCCAAAACCGATTTGGTTTGGAGTAGAGCTGATGGAATTTTCGATATATATATATATATATATATTAATTATTAGAAGACGGATTATTATATCCAATTTTTAAATGTTGTAGCATTTAGTTTTAGTGCAATTTCACCCATGTCTACATACATATATCTCCGGTCAGATATACCCAGAAATCTTTATTCAACAAAAGACTACTCGAAATCGCCATCCCTGGTTGGCTAGGACTATTCCAGTTATGCTGTTTGTTGCATGAAAAAAACACAACTACATACATAAATCAAATCTAACATTTTATGTCTGAGTTTTGGGTTTCGTATTAATTTTTTTAATAATTATTATTAATTTTTAACTCTTACTTAAATAGCTGAAGCAAATCCTGCAACAGGATTCAAAACACGTAAATACACGAAACATTATTGAAGAATAATATTTTGCTTATATCTTAAATAGTTAGATATGTATCTGCATATGTGTGTCTATATGTGAGTACGTTAACTAAACACTTCCTGCCCCACCAGAAAAATCACAAGCAACAAAAAACAAATGTAATTCCAAATAGAATAAATCTGCATCTGCAAAGGGAAGATCATGAGACAGAAACATAAGCATCCTTAAAGTTGAAGTAGAAATCCGAATGATCTTGCGGAGAGTATCAAGTCAACTTAAAACGCATTATTAAGGCTTTGGCTTTACTAACTTCTTAATAATTGTTCATTGATTTATATTCTAAAATAGCTTATATCGGCCCAAATTATGATTTCTTCATCAGATCCGGAACGTTCATTTTCTGTACTAGTATCTATATTATCACGAGGATCTCACTTCATATTGATTGTGGTCTTCTGCTCTGTCCCGCTCATGTCCGTCAATGTAAACCTTAAGCAAAAATGAAAATAGTTAAATGTTAATTTAATGGATAAAGCGCCCTTTACAAAATAACAATATAAAGTTTACCATAGTTAAATAATGATAGCCACCCAATTAATTAAGACCACTCAAATCAAAATTATCTTTTAATTTCCCCAGCATCGCAAACGCAAATGAAATCAAAGGTCTATAATCTAACACGAAACAGTTTTTCGATATTTTGGAATATTTATAAAAAGCGCTGGAATTTTCCTACTTAAGTACGTTGCTTAAATAGTTAAAGTAAGCTCAAAATTCATAGTGGAAGAGTCTTAGGTTATACAGTTTTCTTTGTTTGTGATGTTTGTTTTTGCCACACACCAACTCATCCCTTAGTAAATATTTGACTTCATTTTTCTTAAAATAAATGTACCAATTAAACCCCAACCATAATTGATCAAAAGTAAAGTAAATTGTCAATGCAATATTTTGTAATAAAAAATATTTAAAATACGAAACGATGTTTTCTTGAGTAGCTTTAAGCGGGATTTACTGATATAACATCTTACATTCGACGGATCTTTATATTAGAACAAGGAAAAGGGTTGTTAAAGAATTGTTGTAGTGTTTTAAAATTAGTATAACTGTTTAAAGTAATATGCTTTTTATTTACTAATAAGTCTGATTTAAAAACTGGGAATCGAGATGGTGATATATTGATTTTGCTATTCGTTCACATTTGACCTTTGAGAAGTTCAAGGTGAAGCACTTATTGTAAACAAATTATATCATTATCATTGGACTTACTTATTTATTCCAAACCGTATTTCGAACGAGTTGGCTTGATTTACCTCATAGACCGTATGACGATGGCTGCGTGCAGTATGCATCGGGCTGAGCCCCGCATGGGCAATTGCAGCAGTATCCGGGACTAAAAGAAGGCTTTTCATTAGGCCAAATAATATTTGAATATTCATTTACATTTATTTACCTAAGGTGACCAATTTGATAGCAACATTGGGGACTCACGTTGCAAATTCCGCCAATTTCATATATTCCGGTGGAACGGCCACCGCACATGTCGTTACATTGACCTTCGCAACACGGAGTTCTAGGTGGTAGCAGGCAGCAGTGATTGGGTGTGCAGGGGGGAGGGCAGCCAACGCTTGGGAGGCAATCGTTATCCCAGGGATTGATAGGACACGGATCAGAGAAGCAGAAAAAGCCGGCTGCAACTCCGCACCCCAATGGCATGTCCCGGCAGCACCCTCCGTTAAAAGTATCAGTAAACTGATTTCCCAAGCTTAAAATAGGTCTATAATCGGTCATATAAACGGTTTGGCTCTGGAGCATGTCGTTATAGCTTTCGCAGGTGGGCATCTGATGACATCGTTGTTGCTTTGATCTCAGGAAGCTGTTGATATCCAGATAGTTAGATTGCGGATGGTTACAGCAGGGATCCGGAGAGGGAAAGCAGGCCGTTGACTGGGGCGGGGAACATGCGCTTGTGGGAGTCCAGCAAGGTGATCCTGAACCAATAGAACTACCATCTGAACAGCGAGAACAGCTGGAAGTTCCGCTGGAAGTTCCGCTGGACGTACGAACAGGACTCGATGTGCTCAAACTTTTCGCACTTGACTTGCAGATTTCTGGATTTGGCATTTTAAGTCCTCGATCTTGTAAATCCTGGCTTTCTTCAGTCATTTGCTTATAAGATTCAAAATCTTCCACACCTTGGTTTTTTTCAGTACTTTGCTTATAAGCTTCAAAATCCTGGCTTGCTGTCGTACATTCCCTATAAGCTTCAAAGACTTCCTGCAATTCACTATCAGCGATGTCTTCAAACGAAAATGATGGGCATGGATCTTCGTTGGAGCTTTGCTGCTGAGTAACGCAACTGAAATTTGATGAGGTGGTAACATCTGTTGGAGCAGGTGTTATTGAATCCGGATCCAGGTGGTAAGAGTTTTGACAGCAGCAGCAACAGTCTATATCGAGATCGCTCTCAGACTGCACCTCAGACTGGCTTAAGGGCGACGGCGACGAAAACTCACAGTCGCTGAAAGATGTATTCCGTGTTTCCGGTTCGGCGAAGGTAACATAGTTTATCGTGTTACTACAGACTGGAGCACCTTAGAAAATAAAGACAGTCACTATTACTGCAAGGAAAGTCAAATAGCCTATTTATATGAGGGCCGATGGCCATAGTAGCAGACATAATTATTCTAAATAAATAAATAACATTTGTACCTACAGTCTGATGCTAAGCCCTCAAATTCTAAGGAATTCCCAGTTCACTTACTGATTTGCCCGGACGAAATGCGAACATGTGGCCTAGGTATGTACACAAAAATTAGTTTGATATCAAAAGTATTTATTTCCCTACTTTCTTACGCTTTGGCCTCCCAGGCTCTAGGAACAGCCGCAAATGTTCTCATACAGGTAGGTTCGAATAAATTAGTGACACGTTTCTGCAGTTCGTTTTTTGAAAGGGGCGCAAGTGGGGCACATACGTTATAAGCCTGCTGTTTGGCTTGGAAGTTCTGTAAGGTAGTGGTGGAGTCCGCATTGGGAAAGTCGCGACTTGGTTCACTTCTGCAATCTGGGATGTTACTCCCTTCTGTACTTCTATTCTTCAGTATTGAAATGGGAGGCTTTTTCAACTTGGTGCCTAATATTTGAGGTAAGTAGGTCTTGTACATATTATCTAAGCTGCTGATGGTCGTCATGGTGCGAAGGTTGTCCTCATTTTCCTCGAGACTGATGCTAGAACGCTCCATATTTGTTTTAGGCCCAGATAACCATTGCAGAAATCAAAAACACGGGACAACAAAAGTTATACAAATTTGTTTAAGACATTTTATGATAAAATGATAGAAGTATTGGGTCTGACTTCAAGAGTAAGGCCTCTTTCCCTTCTTGTTACAAAAATGTACTCGAACTTATTCGGAGAAGCCAGTTTGTTTTTAAAGAAAAAATACAGTTTTAAGCCGTGACGATACATTGGAAAATGATTTAATGACGCTACTTCTAATTGTCTACTTTCCGTTTTTTCAGTTAAAACTGAAGATCCTATGAAAGTACTCATTTAAAGTTTAACCTCTTTATGTAAGATATAGATAGATAGATATTTTGAACGAACCCTAAAAAATTACCCGAGATGGCGATGCTGGAATAAAAAAGAAAAAGATAGCAAAAGATGGCAATATGTAACGACCTGTTAAAAATACGTACAGTGGCTCGCATCTTATTTCGTGCAGTTACCTAAAAAAAGATAAGTCGTTATTCCTGGTAAACTAAAAAAGACTGGGAATATTAACATTTTTATTAAATTAAAACGATTTTCTTAATCATAAAAACAACATTTTCGTGCTTTTTCCATGCCGCAGCTTATTTCATGCAGCAGATTCTGCTTAACTTATTATTTGTAATTTAACATTTTCTGTATGTCTTTTCTGGTTCAGGACAGCTTTGAGACGATTTTCCTTGCAAGAAACTAACTTTTTCGTGGTTTCCACTGGATTTTGTTTTAAATTCTTCCGTACGAAATCTTCCTCTTTCTTACAGCAATGTCCAATATTTACCATAAAATTGCATTCACATTTAATCTGGAGACTGTGCTGGCGTTATAACAACATGAGGGCAGTTCCAGATAAGCCAAGACTTCACAGTTCCTGCTAGTGGGTTCGGATCGTTGTCCTGTTACGTTGCGTTGTGTGCTGCACGATAATAATTTCAATGGTGGAGTAGCACGGAACAGGACGGTAACAGGACTACAGTTTTTGCCCATTTCCGACCTGAAAAGAGGACATACAAAAAATTTTAAATTACAAATAATAAGTTAAGCAGAATCTGCTGCACACAAAAAGCTGCGGCATGGAAAAAGCGTAAATGTTTTGTTAAACAATTTTTTTGTTTTTTGATTAAGAAAATAGTTTTAGTTTAATAAACGTGTTAGATTCCCACTTAAAAACTGCGTTAAAACTTTATCTTTTTAGATTAGCAAGACCAACGACTTATACTTATTTTAGGTATGTAACTGCACTAAACAAACTGCGACTCCATGTATACTAATTATACACGTTTCCGATCCTATAAAGTAACTGGTATTGTTTTTAATTTGTCAATTTATGAAAAAAAAAATTTCTTTACCGTTATCTATGGTTTTTTAAAAGGTGCTAATTGTGCATCATCTCTGAGTTAACTTTAGCAAACTAGCTGGGATGCTTTCGGTTTCAAAAAAACAATTTATCAAATTTTATGTTGAGCGGAAGAGGATCGCTTCAGAAAGAGTTCAGCATTTTTGTTTCACCTGAAACCGCTAAACAGCCTAGACTAGAATATGACTTAGGAGCACTCAAATCATTAAAAACCCGTATAATTATTTCTATCGTTAAATTTAATATTTGAGGTGTTGAAATCTTGGCCGTTGAATGGATATTCTTTAAATGTGATGATTAACATTTCTTTAGAATTATATTATATTATTTTTATTGTATTATACATTCTTCTTATTCCATACATGTTAGTTCGTAAAAGTGTTTTATTCTTTTAAATGTGCAATAGACGTTAATTATCAACCTACAGCAATTCATCGTCCTTTTCTCGAGAATATCTGATCGCAATATTCGGTGGCGCAAAAATTATCTTAGTCGGTCTGTGTAAATGAAATACTTGGGCGTGCAGTTGATTTTAATTTAACACTGTTGGGCCAAGCAGCCAAAGCAAAGACGGATGAGCAGCGGAGGGTTTATCAGCAATTTTTAGTTTGTTTTGATTATTTCAGTTTCGCATGCGTTTTACTGTTACTTTGTAGCGCATGCGCTTTTGGGAGCTTTGTAGAACTACTGTAGCTTGAAGCTTTTGGTTGTTAAGCTGTACTCTTTTGCATTCGGCGTGTTTTTGTTGCTAAGTTAATTTGAAAATTGAACTGCCCCGATATATTCATTCTAAAGCAACTAAAAACTCTTAGTTGCTCAACAAATAGCAAATAACGTACCGTCCCGGGATTATGATATTCGGTCCAGTCAAAAAAAGTAAAACTATAATATAAGGTGTGGTAAACATGAGCTCAAATTAATATTACTTTTGAGCAAATAAATAATAAAAATATAATTTTTTCATATTGTTAGTTTATTGTTCATATTCCATCTACAAAATACTGGAACAACTTAGTATTTTTTACATATTTAGGTGATTTTCAAGAAAAGATCTGCAGCCATACTATAAACTAAACTGTACTGTTTAATAGCTTAAAAATACTTTTTGTTTATTCTTAAGGAAAGACAGATTTTCGCCCGATGAATGGAAAACTGTTGCTGAATGCCGTCCGAGTCCTTCGGATGAGCAACTCTGCTTGGAGTCAAGCTTCCACTGCAAGAATCCCAGTACGTTATTACGGTAAGCAGGGGTACCCGGCACACTCCGAACCATTTCATAACAAGCCCTTACACCAGCCAGTGCACCGAAACGGTTCTACAAGAAGACCTCCGTGCTGAGCGGCGACGGCGGTTACGAGGTGGTACTGGACCACCGGAAGCTGAAGACGCCTAAGGGCACTCCTTTTGTCGTGCGCAGCGAACCATTGGCTATTGCTGTCGCCACCGAGTTTGACGCTCAGAAGGAAAACATCGAGCGCTCCCGTATGCACATATCCGCCCTATGCTTCACGGCCATCGACAATCCGAACAACCTCAGCAAGCTGGACATGGTCAATTACCTGCTCAACTTTATAGGCACAGACACGGTGCTCTTCCAGTATGACGTAAGTCACTCATACAGAGATAGGGCTGTCCACTTACGTATCTATTGCAGGACGAGAAGGACCTACATGATCTTCAGGTGAACGAGTGGGACCCAGTGATTGCCTGGTTCAACCAGCGTTACGAGACAAACCTGCAAAAGACAATGAACATTACTCCGCCTCAGATTAGCGAGCAGGATAAAATGAAGATTGCGAAGCACTTCCAGTCCTACAGCCTCGAGACTTTGCATGGTAAGGTTAGCTCTCCCCGATGAAAAACGTTTATTATAAATCACTTCCATCAGGATTTATCTTCGCCGTGGATACCTTGAAGTCGATTGTCCTGGCCTGTGCCGTTATTGAGCAGATGCTGACCGTGGAGAAGGCGGTGGCCCTGGCGCGTCTGGAGGAAGAGTACCAACTCAAGTTTTGGGGTCGTGTGGAGTGGGCACATGATCTCAGTCAACAGGAGCTTCAAGCACGTCTTGCGGCTGCCGTGCTCTTCGTACACCTCAACTGTTCGGAAAACTTCGTTAAGCAAAAGCTAATTCTGTAAATAAAAATAAAAACTCCTCGTTGAAATTAACTATTAAGTTTTGTGTTAACCTAAAAATTGTTAGCTCCAATGCCCATGTGATTGGCCGTTACACTTAGTTTTTTTGCACATCCTGAATTTGTATTTAACTTATTTAATACCCTTTTCAAAATACCTATTGATTTGAAAAAAAAAAACATTTAAATCGAAACAATATTTTATAACCGTCAGTTACAGTTTTTACAGTTCACACAATAGGTGGCGTTTCTAAAATTGAACACTGCGTTAATTACTGCTAGCAAAATGATAAAACTCGAATACCCAATAGTCAGATTTTGTTCAGAAGTTCTTATAGTTTTTGATTTGTATGTGCATACTTCTTAAAAAATATACAATTGTGCCCTCTGACCGTAACATTACTCGGCGCACGGAAAATAACTTTAAAATTATGGCAAACGTTTTGCAAATAAAAAAATGTAAGAGCTATTTTCTTAATAATAAAGTATAAACTATCAAGTGTAATTCGAAGTGCAATAGTAAATAACTACAAACATTAAACGAATTAATTGAAATAATAAAACTTTTTTGACTTTTTAGCTTATTTTCTTTACTAATTTTTTTTTTTTTTTTTTTTTTTTTTTTAGTTTTAGTTTTGTTTAGTGGGAAAGCCATGTATTTAGTAATAATTTTCAAAATAAGTATTTTTATCTCTATCGCAAAGATTACTAAAATCGTTAAGCAATGTACTTGCTTAGCATTATAAAATTTATAATATAAAATTTGTATTGAAACAGTTATATTAAAATTCAGTTTATTTAGTAAGAGAAACATTTTTGCATACCAATATACTGTTCTTGCTCATTTAGTAAATATTTTTATCTTACGCCTGTGAAAATATTCTTATAAATAAATTAATGTTGATATGATCTTTTAGAACCAATTAAGCTTAATAAAAACTCATAAACTTTTTTCGCGATGATGTAATTTTAAAGCCAAAGTCTGAAACGTATTTTAGACGTATAAGGTATTTTTTAAAATTATTCATTCGGAATTGTCGATTGGTATTTTCAAAAAATGAGAATGCGGTTATACTTTGTATCTGTGGTCACACTAGTTTGGTCGTGGGTGGCGCATCATCGGGATTTGCCAATTAAACAAGTGCAAATATATAATAATCTCGATCTCGCCAATTGATCCGAAAAAATAGCTACTCGCGAGTGAAGTTCACATAATCTAACGCGTTCGAAGCCAATCGTTAGTATTGTGGCTGCATTTGGTAAGCAGCGTCTTTTTGGTTCGTGTTGTGTATTTTTGTGTGCCTTAGTGTGCGTGTGTGTGTGCCTTTTCACCAGAAAAATGTAAAAAGAAGTTTTGCTAAAGCAGTGAGGCATACAAATTGCACAGTCGCTTTGTTTCAACCGAAATTCGCGAAAAGCGAATCGCAGAGCTGAAAAACCAATCTGATCTCTGTGTGCGGGGGGTATTCTCCGCTCGCACCCTCCGTCACCATCGTTCTCGACAAAGTGGAAGTGGAAAAACCAGCAACTACATCAACAAAAGCGTGTGTCAGAAATAACACAAACGCATCTCGTTGTGTTCTTAGTTGCTAACTTGCATTTTAATTATTGTAAAGCTCCAGCAGCGAGGACAACAACAAATGTAGATATTTTCCGAAACGCAAACAACTACAATCGCGACGTACGACGCCCTTTGGGGAGCAGTTGTGTTGGTGTGCTGCTGCTGTTGTTGTATTGGTGCTGCCACCCTGTTCGACTTTTTGTGATATTTTCGTTTTATCATATGAAGTTCTTTATTGTTTACGCCGCAAACAATAAAAAAGGTGTATTTTTGAAATGATTTTTGCTGGTGTCTCCGCCGCCTAAACAGCTGCCTGCAAGCTCAACGTTGACGCCCACCGAACGACCACTTTCTGGGATTGTGAGAGGCTTTTTGATTCAAAGGTAAGTTCGCTTGAGATAATTGCAATGAGCAGACATAGACTGCAAACAGCAAGTACTGCCTACTGTGTGTTTCTACGCTATCGCAATTGGATTCGGCTTACATCATTGCTTAATTTATATCTGAATTGTTACATTTTTAAGTACACATTGAATCCATCTCAAATATTGCAACTAAGATAAATATAATTACATTAAACACCGTTTAGTAAAACTTTAAAAATTTAGCTAAATTTTTAAAGTTGTGCTAATGCTGCCTTGAGTCAATTCGAAACAAATCCAGAGAGAGTTTCCGAAAAGACACTTAATCCTCGCGCTTTACCCTGTAAAATGTGTTCAGTGAACCAGTTGTCTAAAAATAGCGGAGCACGGAGAAGGAAGCCTTTGGCTTTAGCTCTAGTTTTGGTCGGGATGTCTCGCCTTACGCCTTGGGTCTTGGCTGGGCATCTGAGCCTCAAATGGGCAATCCAATTTGCCCGGTGGTGGAATTTCAATTTCGCACTCAAAACGGTTGTCGAGTGCGAAAAAAGTTTGTGATAATCAAATCAAATCAGCGCCAATGAGGTTAAACAGGGGAGGGCAACCCTGAAATGCTCGTTCGGAACTGACTTCGTCTGCTCTCTAATGAGGATGCATTCAATTATATTCAAATTGTTCACTTGCATGTGGGCGCACAACGGGGAAGATGGGGAGTGTGGTGGCGCGCCTATCTCAATTTTGCCCAAACCAATGTGACTAGGACTTATTTTTCTGCATTAACATTATACAAAAATGTTGATTTACTATAGGGATGATAATCCCAGGTAATAAATTGTATAGTTGAGCTGGTTTGTGAGAGAGTGAACAATTTTTTAACTGGCCAACTCAACCCATGGGCTTACTAGTATTTTCTGCCGGAAAAGATCAATTTGTTGACTAAAACCGAGGTCACTCGCTACTGACAATTTTTTGTGCCTAATTACTTTTTAGTAAAATGTTCGGAGCGCAAAACAGAACTGCAGTAACAAACACATAACGTCAGAGGTTTTAGTTTTAATTCCCCGTTTTTCATCTAACGATGGGGGAGTCGAGGCTCTTGGAGCAACCCAATTCCCAGGGCTAGTTAGCAAGAAGGAATGAGATGGGTAGATAGAGAGGTTGTGGAACCAGTTCGACAACATTTGGAGATTTGAATGTCGCTAAGAAGATGGAAAGCAATTCAAATAATTCTTGTTCCGCAGCGAACATATAACAGCATTGAGGAGGTACTAATTTGCTTATGCGAGGAATACCTTAGGCAATCATTTTATTTGATAGGACTCGGGACCCCGCACACGTATACACGTCACGTACTCTGGAATTCATGAATTGCTTACCATAAACACATCATTCTGATAGTTTTGCCTATTTGCGCTCGCGGAATTCAAGTTCAAAGCTCTTTGTTCGGCAGTCGCTGAAAGAAACTGGAAAAACATAAAAGATAGAGAGGAAAAAGACAATCATGTACGTATACTTTTTAGACGTTAACTTGCACGATATTTGCTTTCGTTTCTTTGTTTCCTTTGTTTTGTTTTATTTCTTCAAGTTTATATACATTTAAATAAAACAACTTTAAAACGGTAATGTAGACCAAAATAAAATGGGAAATGTGGGCGGGATGGGTTCGGTGATGTTACTTCACATATAACCACACACTGCAGCCAGTAATTTTATTTTTATTCAGGCGAACAAATAAATGATTTCAAAAATAAATCCCTTTGTAACTTTTGTTAGTCAACTTTCCTAGTGAATATTGGAATAGGATATTGGAATATTGGATAGTCTATCAATTTCAATGGGGTCTTTAAGCATTCGAAAGAATAACGTTCCGCATTGTAAGGATTATATTCCTAATCTTAAGCTCTCACTTTTGGTATCCGAGCCTGTTCAGCGTACTTGTATTTACTGTCCGCCTCTTTGCTTACAGTCTTTCCTTATCAGCAGACCCAGTAATCGTCCCCATCATCATCCTCGTTATGAAGGCCTCAACGAAACTGGTATAATCTTTGGCTAGCATGTGGAAAAAGTGCTTCCGACTTCCGTATGAATGCTACATTTTCTGCTTTGCTTTGCGATGCTTCAAAGGCGAAACACGTCGGTTGCCATTTCCTTGCCATCGCAGAGGACGACAAACCACCCCAAACACCGCAACCAGTCTACGGCGAACCCAACAACAGCAGCTTATTGATTTTCTACAACTTTGTGATGTTTAAACAGCATTTTAGTTCAGTTTGTTTGACTGTCGTGAGCCGTACACGCGTCAAATGAGCCTTTCCACTCCGAAGTGGGTCTTACAGGACAGAGGGGGATCAACGAGTAGGAGAGGGGTAATACTCACTCATTCACCTGTGGGCGACACACCTCGTTTGCTTCCAGGAATCGCTCGTGCCTATTGGACAGGTATATCAACTCTCCGAGGTTGACATGCAAATTATAAATTTAAACTTGAAAGGTGTTAGTGGGGGATTTTAGTAGAGTTGGAATGCACTCCGTTTGGGGTTCGTTAAAATCAATTATTTTGTTTGTAGGTCAACATTTTTCCCTGGCTCGTGTTACGTTACGTTGGGTAATTCGCCTCAACGTTTACGTCATGTGTGACCAAATTGTCTTTCCTACTTTATCTGCTGAAAAGGCTTTGCTGAACCATTGCACTTAAGTCCTACACGAATTTGCATATTTGCCAAATGCTACTATTCCATTGCACGTTTGTATGAAAACGAAAAAAGAGAATGTTATTTCACAACTAAACGGAAGTACTTTTTGAGGACTATTTTTTAACTGAACGATATAGCCTGATATATCTATCTACTATGAACTAAATGTCTATCAAACTATTTATAACTATCTAGTAGCAGGAATTTGTTGACTGTTTTTTCGTACGAACTTTGTTTTTGTGAGCTATTTGCACTCGGCTAAAACTGAAAACCAGATTCAGTTTATAGGTCGGTCTTGCTCTAATTATGTTGAAGTTTTAGGACTCCGCTTTGTTTTAACATAAAATATTCGTGGGGTTGTTTCTTAATATTCATTGTTTAATGAATAAATCAAAGCCAATTTGCATGTCCACATGTTTTTTGTTTTCACTTCTGTCATGCCTTGATATTCGATTGTGCATTTTTACGAGTCAAGGTCGCCTGAGTATGTTTGCCGTGAATATCTGTTATGGTCGTTAATCTGCTGGGTTCCAGATTATTTGAATGCCTACAATAAAATCGTTTGGGTTGTGTGCTTTGTTATGGATTCCAGGACAGCTATTCGCAATTCTGTTTCGTCTTATCAGGGAAAAGGTTAAACATTCTTCGGGACGCGCTATTCTCGATACTACTGGGCGCGGCTAGTCTGGTTATTATTGTTATTATTTTATTGTCATTGTTTGATTTCAAGCTTTTACCGCTGGCGATTATTGTTTTTCTTGTGGGACTTATCTTATCTTAACTGGGTATACAATACCGTAAAAATACTTTCTTGGAAGAGCTGACTAAGTGCTTTAAGTGCAAGAAGTTATCGTTGGGCCGAACATGCCATGAGTTCAGATTGGCATTGCTAATTACGTGTACCTATCGGGAATTATTTATTGAATTCATAGTTAATGTGGAATATCTTAAAAGGGCACATTGACCTTGTTGTAGAAAAGAAGACATTTATTTCTAAACACTTATGGCACATTGCCGTTTTAATTGTGACAAAATAAGTTTGTCTTTATGCCTTCAAAAGAAGTTTCGTCCGTACCTTGCGTTGCTTCTGTTTCGTTTGGATAACTCTTAATCTTGCCCATTCGCTTTTCGTGCTCATCTGCTTTGGATGTTGTTATTTGTTTCAAACGTTCTTCAAGAATAAACAAATGGTAAAAAATACACCCATTAGGAAGAACGTATCTGATTATGATATTTTTTTTATTTTTTTGCGCAACTATTTCCAGTTTGTCAAGAATTTGAACTTGAATCTTGTAAAGTTTTGATTACAACCCAAGTTTGAATAGAACAGAAGTCAAGCCAACTGAAAAGACCATTTCGGTTTTTATTGAGTGGATTTAAAAAAAACACAAGGTATTCACTATGTTCTTAGCAATTGAAAAAGAGAGGTTTGCAGGGCAAAAAAACATAAATGCATATTTTGAAATTGTTCACATGCAGTTGATTCATAAAAAGAGGAATCTCCCAATGGTGGAGCCACTGAAATGTAGCTTATCCTTGATAAAAATTAACAGTTTTCTGACGAAAAACACAAAAGTGACTCACAAATATATGCTTATGGAATGTGTATGCTTCCCCATTTGTAGGCACGCCGCGAATAAAATAGACGACATTCTGAACTTATTTTTGTTTTGGTTTTTCCCTTGCATACCAAACCGGATCAGGGAAATCCCTGCTGTTGGTCTTTGCCCCATAATTTAATAACCAGCTCAATACGTGACGCTCTGGTGGAGTTGGGATGGCACCTTCGCACAGGTTTACCTTCCACAAAGCCGGCTGTGATTTGGATGCTGTTGCAATTGCAGCTCAGCGGCAGTTTGTGGTCCATTGTCCCATTTAAATTTTCAACGGGCATTGTGAGTTGACAATTTCAATTGTCTTCCATGGGAACGTCGTCATTTCTATTCGCTTGACCCAGCAAATAAAACAAAAGTGAAAAAAATTAAAGCACTTCCGCAATTGGGGAAAGTCCACTTCGTGTTTCCCCGCTTGTTGGGGGTGATGTGCGAGAAAATTCACCGTGTAAAAATACCAATACTATTAGAATACTATTTGCAGTTATACTACTTGATTTATTATTTGTCGCCACATAAGCATTTTTAGTCTCTTCCTCTTTATGCACATTTAATAATAAAAATATATCAGCCGTAAGCATTTTTTACTTTCAAATAGAGGATTGTATATGTCCAGCTTTTCCTCAGTTATTTCTTTCTTACCTGTTAATCGAGCAAGTTAGTCTGTTCTCAGAAAAATGACAACTACCGAAGAAGCAATATTACATTTAACTAATAA